TTAATTATAAAATATATGTAATAAGAAAATATTTATAACTTTAATACAATTGATATTATGATTAATAATTGAGCAATGCAGTGCAAAGCTACTAAAAATAAATCATTACAATATAACTTTGGTTGAGATGTATTTTAATTACCTTAAAAAATTTCCAATATTAATGGTTTATGTTTTTCCATGTACTAATAAAAAAGTCACCCTTTATTATAGCATACTCAACCGATTATATGATTTAATAATCCTCTTGAATGCTAACAAAGTTGACTCACAACTCGATGTGGATGATAAACTGATTTCTTTCAGTTGGGAAAACCAGTTTTGGTATAGATTGATCCACCATTGTTTAAGTTATAGATCTTGCATGGAAGGCAAAAAATTGGACTAGCTATTATTCAACCTATACGTATTTATAAAACCTTTAAGAAAAACTTCTTCCATTATTAGTAACATTCTTTTTGATTTGAGTGATATTGATATTGTTGTTAAAGCCCAGATTTGGGTCAATTTTTAAAAACGGCCCAATTAAGATCTTAGCCACAATAACATTATGTAAGCCTCGTCATTTGGCAAATAGATATCCAAACCTTTCTACCATCTATGAGCAAAATTTATAGACTTACATAAAATCGTCGTTATAATTTTGATAGAGCCTTTTTTTAAAATCGAGTCGAATCCAATGACATAATGTCTTTGGCCGAATCAAACTTTTTAACACCACTCGGTGGCCTATTTTCCAAAATCTGAATCAAATCAGTTGTAAAATATTTACAATAAGAATAACTAAAAAATCTTACCTATCCATTTTGTTTTTGGAAGCTCAGGCTCATTTTTCTTATTCTGAATCTTGGCACCTTGATCATTTTTAATCTTCCACCAAATTAACTATATTTACATTCCCTTCCTCAGTACAATATAACGTGCTTTGGCATTATTAGGAATTTCAGCACACATGAACAAATAGTTTTTCTTAACCGATAGTAGATGAACAATATTTCTCTTTATCCTAAAAATATTTTCTAGGAACCAAAAGACTTTTAAAAAATTGTTGATTGTTTTTTTGGGGGGTTGGGGAGGGGGGGGGCAGATGCAAATTTTTTTAAGGCCTAGAATGGGACCTGTCTAGATGGGAATGTTTCTTTTGTTAAAATAAATTAATATAAAAACAATTATAGAATAAAAAGTCAAAAGAACCCGTATATATTTTTAGAAATTTATAAAAACTAGTAGATAGCCCGTCAAAAATGACGGAGAATGAGAATTTTATTCGTTTTTTAAGAAAGATGTTAACTTTTATTAAAAAATCATATCCAATTTATATAATTTTTAAACCCCCCCCCCCTCCCCATTTATGTCAAGTCCAAGCAATGTCATTGAGTCCAACCTATTAGGACTAAGAGTGGAAACTATTATTTGAGTCAAAATATATTTAAATGAGCTTGTACCCAATACCAAAATTCTTTGTAAATATAATACTGGTTACATAAGACTAACATTTAACATTAAAAAATTTCAAGCCAGGTCCAAGCTCATAATATTTGGGAAAAATTTCCAAGCGTTCAAGACCTTATAATTTATAAAAAAATTTCTCAAGCCTAGCTCAACCCATAATAATTTTGAAAATTTTTTCCTAGCCCGGCCCATAATAATTTGTATAAGATATTCCCAAGTCAGGTGCAAGCTATTAAAAAATCCCAATATAGGTTCAAGCCTACAATATCTGGAAAAAATATCCAAGCATCCAAGACTAACCTTTAACATTAAAAAATTCCAATATAGGTTCAAGCCTACAATATCGGGATAAAATATCCAAGCATCCAAGATCTTAATATTTAAAAAGATTTTCTCAAGCCCACCTTCCCTAATAATTTTGAAATCAAGCCCAGAGATATTTAATTTATAACATAAGACTAACATTTAACATTAAAATATCCTAATATAGGTTCTACCCTACAATATCTGGAAAAAATATCCAAGCATCCAAGACGAACATTTAATAATAAAAATCCCAATATAGGTTAAACTGGATAAAATATCCAAGCATCCAAGATCTTAATATTTAAAAAGATTTTCTCAAGCCCACCTTCCCTAATAATTTTGAAATCAAGCCCAGAGATACTAAATTTATAATTAATGAAGAGGAAATATCTGATTTACCAATTAGTCAACAGGTAAAATATATTACTTTATAAAAAGAATAATATAAGACTAACATTTAACATGGAAAAAATATCCAAGCATTCAAGACTAACATTTAACATTAAAAAATCCCAATATAGGTTCAAGAAAAAAGCATCCAAGATCTTAATATTTAAAAAGAATTTCTCTAACCCACCTTCCCTAATAATTTTGAAACCAAGCCCAGAGATATTAAATAAAACTAACATTGAACATTAAAAAATCCCAATATAGGTTCAAGCCTACAATATCTGGAAAAAATATCCAAGCATCCAAGACTAACTAACATTAAAAAATCCCAATATAGGTTCAAGCCTACAATATCGGGATAAAATATCCAAGCATCCAAGATCTTAATATTTAAAAAGATTTTTTCAAGCCCACCTTCCCTAATAATTTTGAAATCAAGCCCAGAGATATTTAATTTATAACATAAGACTAACATTTAACATTAAAATATCCTAATATAGGTTCTACCCTACAATATCTGGAAAAAATATCCAAGCATCCAAGACGAACATTTAATAATAAAAATCCCAATATAGGTTAAACTGGATAAAATATCCAAGCATCCAAGATCTTAATATTTAAAAAGATTTTCTCAAGCCCACCTTCCCTAATAATTTTGAAATCAAGCCCAGAGATATTAAATTTATAATTAAGGAAGAGGAAATATCTGATTTACCAATTAGTCAACAGGTAAAATATATAACTTTATAAAAAGAATAACATAAGACTAACATTTAGCATGGAAAAAATATCCAAGCATTCAAGACTAACATTTAACATTAAAAAATCCCAATATAGGTTCAAGAAAAAAGCATCCAAGATCTTAATATTTAAAAAGAATTTCTCTAACCCACCTTCCCTAATAATTTTGAAACCAAGCCCAGAGATATTAAATAAAACTAACATTTAACATTAAAAAATCCCAATATAGGTTCAAGCCTACAATATCTGGAAAAAATATCCAAGCATCCAAGACTAACTAACATTAAAAAATCCCAATATAGGTTCAAGCCTACAATATCTGGATAAAATATCCAAGCATCCAAGATCTTAATATTTAAAAAGATTTTCTTAAGCCCACCTTTCCTAATAATTTTGAAATCAAGCCCAGAGATATTAAATTTATAACATAAGACTAACATTTAACATTAAAAATTCCTAATATAGGTTCTACCCTACAATATCTGGAAAAAATATCCAAGCATCCAAGACGAACATTTAATAATAAAAATCCCAATATAGGTTAAACTGGATAAAATATCCAAGCATCCAAGATCTTAATATTTAAAAAGATTTTCTCAAGCCCACCTTCCCTAATAATTTTGAAATCAAGCCCAGAGATATTAAATTTATAATTAAGGAAGAGGAAATATCTGATTTACCAATTAGTCAACAGGTAAAATATATAACTTTATAAAAAGAATAACATAAGACTAACATTTAGCATGGAAAAAATATCCAAGCATTCAAGACTAACATTTAACATTAAAAAATCCCAATATAGGTTCAAGAAAAAAGCATCCAAGATCTTAATATTTAAAAAGAATTTCTCTAACCCACCTTCCCTAATAATTTTGAAACCAAGCCCAGAGATATTAAATTTATAATTAATGAAGAGGAAATCTCTAATTTACCAATTATTCTACAGGTAAAATATATTACTTTATAAAAATAATAACTTAAGACTAACATTTAACATTAAAAAATCCCAATATAATTTTGAGAAATATTATACTTGATAATTAAGAGAATGTTCTATAAAAATATTTTCTATAAAATAAAATCAATAAAAAAATAAAAATAAGTACGTACCGATGACATGACGTAGCGATGACATGACGTCACGATGACGTAGTGAGGACATCGGAAAATTATAATATAGATGATGGGGGACACAAAAACAACATTTTTGGTAATAAAACCTAAATGCATATTAAAATAAAAGTCCAAAACACGACAATATTCTAAATAATTACACTCTACCCCAGGGCCATAGCCACAAAAGAGCCTGGGAGTAGCCCCTCCCTCTTTCCCAAAAAAATTTCCTGGCTCCCAACCTGACCTATCAAATATTTTCTGGCCCCCAAATATAAAAAAAATGATTTAGTTATTAAATTTTAATTGACCATTAACGATCAAGAATTAAAAAATTCTTGGGGCGAAGCCCCCAGACCCCATTTAGGGCGGGCCTTCGGCCGGGTTACTTTAGTCTATATATAGTCATAAAATATTTTTACAAGAGAGGAGATTATTTTTAATAAAAAAAGAAACCTAAAACAAATATGAAATTCATTTTTATTAGTTTATATAAAATATAATAAATTACTTGTATATACATTAATATAAGATCATGGTAATAATTTATTCCAAACAAGTATAAAAAATTTATTTATAAAAAGTAAATAGACATATAGTTGATATTCCTCTATTATATAGAATTTCTTACAAAATACTAAGTAAAATTATCCTTATACAGACATATTTGACAGTTAGAGAATATATTACAGTTAATATTTTACAAAATTTACTAATCAATGCTCTTGATAATAAATATATCAACATAAGCATTCAATTATTTAACACCATCTATTTATTTTAAATAAAAAATGATATTAAAAAATAATCTTCATATTATTTATCTCACAATGTCTTTAAAATATTTGATGTCCTTATCAATCTATTATAATAATCCTCAAAAAACGTGAATCAAGTTTAACCAATAGAGTTCTTTTAAAAAATATTTATCCAATGATAATCATCATAGAAATTTTAAGCCATTAGTAATTCCCATGTGATATATAATATGGCGAAACACAATATCCATATCAAATTTGCCATTGCATGTAAAATATTCTTTTCAACAAATTTTATCTAGATAATATTTTTGAAATATTTGCTCAACACCATAGTAAACACTATATTCTTCATTTATTTTATTTTTAATGTGTAAACTTTCATTAGAGTCTATGACATCTGGGTTGAATCAAGGAGAGTTGGCTTCAAAGTTAAATTTCAATTATTTTATTTTTGATAAAATCACATATACCAAGGTAAAAGTTCTTATATTTTAAATTTATATAAAATTACCTAATTAATCAAAATTCAGATGCCATATCAATATCAGATGATGTTTAGATATTAGTAATAAATATTTGCTCAACACCAAAGTAAACAATATTTATTAAAATCTTCAATTATTTTATTTTTGATGTGTAAACTTTCATTAGAACCTATGACATCTGGACTGAATCAAGGAGAGTTGGCTTCAAAGTTAAATTTCAATTATTTTATTTTTGATAAGATCACAAATACCAAGCTAAAAGTTCTTATATTTTAAATTTATTTAAAAAAATTTCTTTTTACCTTTTAAAACCTAATTAATCAATATTCAGAGATGCCATATCAATATCAGATGATGTTGAGATATTAGTAATATTAGCCAATTTATCTTTCATTTTTCAAAAGTATAAATTTTAACAAATAATTTTTATGCATTATTATATCATGCATTTTGCTTTTTTTTTTAAATCAAGGCCTATACCAAAATATATGTTGATGTACACCAAAATAAACACTATTTATAATATTGGAGAGTGATTAAATAAACACTATACTTTATGAATTATTACTTCTATGAAATATCAGAGCAAATATATATATATAAAATAAGGTCAGACAACTTTAGTAAAAAAATTGAAATTAGGTTAAGCAAAACTTGGGATGGGCATTAATTAAATTCTTAATGGGACTAAAAATGTTGTCATTTGCAGACCTCTGGTGATAATACAATTATATATTTTTGTTTTTCTTTAAATTTCTGAACATATTAAAAAAGTAATTTTTATGGTTCCACGTCAATTCGGCGATATAAACAAATAGCATGAGAAGCTATTTTGCCTTCTCCCTTAACTCCAAATCCTAATTGATACGTATACTCAGTGTTTTATAAGATAATCAGTTTGGCCCTATAATTGATTTTAATCTATGATGGCGTCTTTTCTAATTTAGGAAGGTTTTAAAAGCTTATAAATGATTCTTAATGAGTGCAGATTTTATAAGAAGTGAGAACAAAAACCATTGTATCTGAGTAAAAAATTTGTTACAAATATCATAACTTACAAATCATATTTTTTTTATTCCATATTTTCCGTAATATATTTGACCTTTTCTCTAAAAATTAATAGAAATCATGGAAGAATAAATATGGATAATATATTCCTCTCATTTTATTATTGATTAAAGAAAAGATTTTTTCAACGTTGGCATTATGAGCTGATATAGAAAAAAAAGCATGCTATAATAGCAGTTCACTACATTGGTGAAAGATTGGGATATAAAAGAAATTAGATCCATTTTTGATGAAGAGCAAGTTTTGCATATTCAACACGTCTAATTTTATTTATAATAAACAATTAAAGTTGCAAAATTGGCTCAACAACTTTGAGTCATATAAAGAAACATTTATCTATATAGACTTTTCTAAATCTGACTTAAGAAGATTTTAATTTTCATCCATTTGAAACATTCCAATTTTTTATAAAGGTTCTGATTAGAGAGCAAAATATAAAATTCTATATCTATACATTCAATAAATCATTGAATTTATTTAATTTTTTTGTCCATTTTTAATATCTGTTTCAAATGTTACTTGAAAATAAGTTATGCTCTCATCTAGCAAGGATATATTTTTCAGATTATAAATTACAAATACAAATGAATAAGAAATATTTTTAAAGATTTTTTATTGTGCACATAAATGAAAATAACTAACCATATACTTCATATAAATAATGAATTTTAGAATATCCCTTCATCTAAAAAATATAAATTTCTAAATCACACCTCTTCATCCATTGTTAAATAAAGGTAAAATTTATTATTTTATCATTGAATAAAGGATTACCCGTCATTTTTGACGGGCTATCAGCTAGTATTTTATAATTTTCTGTAAAATATATATTTCGCTATATTGGTAAAAATTATTTGATTGTCTTATGATAATTGATAAAATTAGATATACTTTAAATCTACGACATATAATATTCCAATGTTTGTATTGTGCTTTAATTTTTTATTTAATTTATGATTTAATTTTATCTATAGTTTTATAATTATAATTTACTTTTATTAAAATAAATAAATTAAAATTACTCACTTTATAAAAATTTATATTTGATATTAGATTATTTAATAATTTTATGGATCTGTTATTAATAATTATAATACATTTCACTTTTGCCTTAAGACTTATCTTTGGCTTATATTCCATTTCTTAAAAAACATTTTTGGTTCACTTTTTATATATATAAATGCTCCAAAAATGTATAAATTATGATGAATAGTTTTATATAAAAATATCAACTTTTACATTCTTTCTTTCAAATTATTGTTTAAGATATAGGCATACATTTTCGAAGGTCAGGGAGTGGGGGGAGAACTAAGGGGGAATTTTCTTATTAGCTTAAAATGATATTCACAAAAAGTGATAAATTTCTGAAAGGGGGGGGGGTTTCCCCTTGCCCCCTCCCTTGGCTATGCATATGCTCTTAAGAGACTTTTACTAAGGTGTACTAGTCATTTAAACATCTCGTTTCAATCTATAAGAATTTTGAGGCTATTGGTGAAGTATTATTTTACTTTTCTAATAGAACTCTTAACTCAGAGGTTTCCACTCATGATTCAGTCGAGGCTTCTGATCTTTTATCTAAATGTGTTAATATAAATTACATTATACATATTTTATGACCTTTTATGACAGCCTATCTATGGGCATCACTAGAATTTACAATCTCAGAGGGCTCAAAAAAATTTTAAAATTATTTCCAAAATTACTTTTTTTAGCTAACATTCAAAAAAAAATTTCAAAATTTTGAGGAGGCTCTTCAAATTTTTCAGCGGACTTGACCCCCTGCACCTAGTTAGTAAAGCTAATGGTACAACCTTATTCCACCATCAGATTTTATGGCTTAATTTATTATCACCTTGTTAAAACTGAGGGTGAGTGTAGCAATATCTATTAATCTTGATGTTTTCACTATTCTGCTAAGATTCAAGTGTGTCAATATAGACATTTATTACGGAACCATCTGTCTTTGATTTTAATTTCCTTCATTTGATGCTAAGTTCTAGCCTTAGCTTGTTTTGAGAGGATTTGCTGTTAAGGCATAAATCCATTGCAATGTCTTTACCTGGGATGACTTTTCATTATGTCTTTAAACTTTTTGCGCAAGATGAGAATGTAATCTATTTGGGATTTTCGCTCTCACTTAATGGTTATACCTTTTTTTAAAGAAGGTGTTTAAGGCAAGATCAAAGGCTTGCGTAAATTTCAATACATACTCTCCTCCTTCATTTACTTCTCCATATTCAACATGGTATCTTTAATAGCCTTCTCCTACTATTCTACATGCGCATTTAATTCGCTTCCTTTTATAAATGCCACCTATAGGGGTTTTCATCAGAGTATTATTTAGGAATATCATTTTCATTCTCTAAGCCTTTTCAACCGCTTTGAGAAATATTCTGAGAGGATGTGTAGAATTGATTGGCCATGAGGAGTTTTATTGCCATTATTTTATTAGAGATTCCTGACATCTACTACTGTCGAGGTTAGATCATGGCTAACGATGATGCTGACATCATTTTTGTTGTTCACTAATTCATTATAGTAGAGTTTATAACCTCTTAGTTTGTGCAATATGGATGCCAATCCTCTTGTATTACCTTGAGTATCAATGTTTAAACTTGCAACTTGAGAATGGTGACTTTTTAGTTTTGACGTTAATTTTACTTTTCACAGGATGTATGTCTACAAAGTGCTCGTCGCTTGTATGAAATGCCCTAGCATGCATATTCATGATACATTTTAGATAACTTTTTAGTTGTTCGCACATATATCATAGCACCCAGCTACCCAAGCTAGGAAAAAACAAAATAAAATTTGAAAAAAAGATAAATAAGTCAATAAATTGCGTATTTGCTCATCAATCAAAGAAAATCTTACAAATTAAACGGCCCTCTCAGAGTTATGAACCTGGATACCTCCTTTTACTAGGCATATATCTTATTCACTAGGCCACACCGATGATATCTGATATATATATTAAAAGCCAGGACAGGTATAAGAACCATACGACATGGATCTATAGCCCAAATGACACACCATCAAGCTTTCCAATCTGATAAGGTTTATCAAGGATGGCTCTCAGCCCATTGCTGTGCATAGCAGTAGTAGATCTATCAGAGCCTATCTTAGAATCAACTTCATGATAATATATATATGGGTGATATTGTAATACCTGACGAAACAAACGATGAAATGAAAGAAAACTAACGAAATGCAATCCTAGAAAATTATGGCTATAAAAGTTAAGCAAGGAAAAAACAGAATATATGGTAATAGGGAGGTGAAACAGATTATATTGACATAAATGAATGGCAAATATCAGCAATTAAAAGTTGCAAATATTTGTGTTCCACTTTACAAAGCAATGGCAATCGAAAAGGAAATAAAAAATAATATAAAATAAATCAAGGATCGTTGAGGTGGGAAATTATCAGGAGTGCCCTTGACAAAAGAAACACAAATTAAAGGGAAAGATATGCAGTTTAGTACTACAGAGAACTATCTTATATAGTTCGGAAACATAATCAGGCAAAGAATAAGACGAGATAATTTTACTGATAATATAGAAAAATGCTATAGATTACTAGGAAAGTACCCATTAAAATAAATAAATAATTGTAAGCAGACTAAGGTGGTATGGACATCAGAGACCTTCATGGACCTTAATTTATAAGGCCCTGTCCAGATTCGCAGTGAAAAAATTTTTTAGACCCCGGCACGGGCCATATTTAATGTTAGAAAAAATTTTAAGCCCATAATAAGTATCAAAATTTTTCCAAGTTGTCTCAAGCCCATACAAAAATTTAGTTTATTGTATTTAATGAAAATAAACATTGTCTTTAAAGTCCTGTGAGCTAATTTGACATCATCCAGAGTTGGGCAGTACCGCGAATACTTGTATCTAAGATACAAGATCCTTTTGTATCTTGTACTCAGTATCTTTTTGACATTTCTGATAAGATACTAGTATCTGTATCTAAGATTCTTTATTCTAAAAATAATCTTGTATCTTTTTCATTTTCATATTGTTGACAAAAGATACAGATACAGATTCTTTTTAATATTCATGTTTAAAATTTTACATATCACAGTATATACTTTATTTTCTTCGAGAATCTTGAATTAATTTCTTCATTTTTTCCACCATATTTTAATATATTGACAGCCAAAATTATTTGGAAATTTACAAATCATATTAAGGTAGAAAGATAAAAAATAACAACACCAAAACGAAATATGTATAGATTATATTTTATATATAAATGTAACTCGATAGAATATCATTACCAATTTTATGTAATATTTTTAATTTTAGGATAATTAACACTCATGGTAGTGAAATTTAAATTATAGAAATAAGTTCCCCTGAATCATATAATCTTAAAATTTTATATGGAACTTTTTTTTAAATATAAGTTAAAAAAGACAATTTACAGGCTAAATGTAAAACCTGTATAATCAAAAAAATAATAAAGGGTTAAACACAAATTTTGTTAAACATATAGTATATTATTTATGTGTAGTTAAAAGGGGCATAGGTTATCTTAAAAATTCAAGTTTACAATATTGGCTACCTTTAAAAGCTGCCCAAGATGGTATGGGTAAAAGATTTTAAGAAAATATTTTCCTATGATTTGAATATAATGTGGCTTTTTTGACATCAATATCACATCCATATTTTAAGAACTTATGGATTGAGTTGGATAATAAAAAAAAATTTCAAAATATATTAATAAAAGAAGTCCTAAATGTAGTACCAGAATAAATAATAAAGTTCAAACTATAAAACCAATGATTAACATCTAATAAAGAAAATGATAATTATTTTTCTTTTGGTGAAACAAATGGTGCTGAGTTCAATAATACAAATAACAATGGCTGGAGATTTTAAATTATATTAAGTCGAAATATATTATAAATGCTTAATTTTTATCCTTCTATTAAGGAAATTTTTTATACATATAATACTGCAATACCTTCATCAGCTCTAATTGAAAGGTTATTTAGTTTTGGTAAAAATGTTAAATACGCCGAAACGACAAAGGTCTAATGATAAATTATTTGGAAAATTTGATTATCTTATAATGAATGTATTTTAAATACTCTTTTACAAATTAATATTTCAACTCCCATTAAAAATACTAGTCTCCCTTCTTAATCTATGCTATGAATGGCTAATACTAATATTAAAATGCCTGATTATTATAATTAACTCATCATTAAATTTTTTATTAATTATTGTAAATATTCATTCTTATTATATGTGTATGTTATGTTCTTCACAAATAAATAGTAAAAACTGTATTTTATAAGCTATTCTGATTTAATCGGTAATGATAATTTAAAAGTATCTTATATTTAAGATACTATAATTAAGTGAAAGATACAAGTTTCTTTTATATTGTATCTTTTTGATATTTTGAAAAAGATATTTTTCACAAAGAATCTGTATCTGTATTTAGATTCTTTTTCAAGAGGACCTGTCCAACTCTGACATCATCATATTGAATGTTATTTTTTAACGTTTAAAACCATTCAATGATTTAATTTAACATTTTTAAATAAATATACAAATGTATTCAATCGTATTTTATCAATAATAAAAAAATATGCTTTATTTTTATTTTATTATCATGTAAATTTTGACTATATTTCCGTTTCGATTTTTTTAGAATTACTTGATTTTACATATTATTTAAATATATTTTAATTGAAAAATTTTGTAAACTGTTTATTTTATAAAGAAGACAAAATATTCAAATATGTTATCATGAATTTATATTTTTTTAGAATTTTAATTATTTTTATAAATATAATTTTAAAATTATGATGACAAATTAACTCATTAGGAATTTAATAAGTTATTTTATTAACATTGAATAAATTTTATTTTTTATAGATATCAAATAAATTCTAATTGAAGGTGATATTTCGGAAACAGATATTGATAATAGTGAGGATAATTTTAATCCTTTTAATCATACTATTGACAATATAGATATAACAGATTCGCCCATAAATGCACTCCACAAGGAGCTTGATAATGTTCATGAAGGTCCTAGTTTTCCTTATCTCAGTAGTAATTGGGTGTTAAAAAATATTGAATCATTTGATACAACATTTTCTAAAAAAAATTTTTAATTCCCCAAATAATATTTCAACACCATATCACTTTGAATAATATTTCATTTGATAGATACTTGTATTGTGAATGCATGGTTATTGTATCGAAGACATTACTTCAAAAAAATGAAAAATCTTTTATAAAACTTATAACATTTAAATCTCAATTAGTTCCTGCCATGGCAGGTAAAATTAGTAAAAGAAAAATAGGGAGACCATCAAATGAAAATCTTAAAATGCAAAAAGGATCTAAGTTACCTCAGATAATAACTGACGTTAGATATGATAATTTAGGGCATTGGCCAGAAGTTTATAAGACTCTAAAAAGGTGTAAATTATGTGTTATCGCATATTTAAGGACTATGTTTGAAAAAATTTATGCTATAACTAGGAAATAAATTTTAAAAAATTTTCCATAATATATAAATAAATATATTTTTATATACATGCATTTCGCTCAATGATGCCAAATTGTATCATGATTTTTTTTTACCTGTGTGTACTATGAAATAAAAGTCGAAATAAAAATTTTACATCCTTGGTATATAAATGAAGATTTTTTATAAAAAATTTTTTTTAGTTTTATTTTAAAAAGTCGAGCTTTAAAGGGTTAAGTGTATAAGCAATAATTTTGTTTACAAGACTTAAATTTATCGTTATTAGATAGAATAAAAAATTTGCAGTATTTTTTTAATTTAACAACTGTTTTATATAATAAAATATAAATTAAATTTTTATGGCCAATTAAAAAGATTTTAAAAATCCTATCGCAGGCCGCTTGAAGATATAATATTAAGTCGCGGGCTGGCAGGGCCCATTAAGGTCTTTGATGGACATACGATGAGAAGGCCCATAAACTATATGAAAACTAGAACAAATGGTTTGAAAATGCTGAATATCGGCATGATTAATTATAATTATATATTTTGTGTTTTTTTTTCGTAATTTAGAATTATAGTATGTGCTTAGAAAGACATTAATATGATCATAGATAGTGGTATATTTTATTATATATACATAATGTATTAAGATATTCATAATCTGAGAAATTGCAATTTATTTTTAAACCAAAAGATTATTTATTATAAAAAATTTTATAATTCTATTCTATTAAAATCTATATCAGAATTGATTCACGATAATTTCAACATACTTCTTACGTGGATTTAAAAATTTTGGATCCATAGGTGTACAATTAGATACTCGAGGTCATCTTGCTCCCTCAAATTGGTCATAGGGGAGATGTGCCATAAAAGGACATGTTTTTGCTTTTTTCAAAATATTATATTAAGATTTGGGTTTAACTAAATAAATTTTATATCAATGTGTAGCCCAATTATTAATAAGTAAAATAAATTTGATTATGAACTAGATGAGGCTATGTAAAAGTTTTTTTTCCATATACTATATATTAACTGGCCATAATGTATTATTTAATAATTATTTAAACGACCATGTCCGTGTGCCTAGTACAGTTGTGATGATTTGATGAGACATATTGACGATTAAATTAAACACATCCATATAAATATTTTTGTTTGCAAAAATAATTAAAATAACAAAAGGAGGAATAAAACAATTTTCAATAATGCTTTGTCTATATTTTAATTGATTTTTGCAAACAAATATTTTTATATGGATTGGTTTTAATTTAATCGTCAATATGTTTCATTAAATCATCACAACACTGTATTAACTTGAGTGTGATAAATTAAAAATTATGACCAGCAGACAAATAAATGAAATGCTAAAATTTAATTAATATCGAAACTTATAATGTATAAATAAAAAGAATTCTATAGCAATGGTTGTCATTTGCTATAGGAAACCGGGAAAGCAGTATTAGATGAGACTTCCCCATAGATTATAGTGAATTTATTTTAAAAATAATTTTATATTAAATAATAAACATTAACTTTTTTGTTCTTAATAAAAATATTTTTAAACGAAAATTTTAAGTCTAATTATAAATATCGGAAAGATTTTTTTTTTTATCTAAATATAATAAATTATAAAATAAATATGTTTTATAAATTTTAAGGTTTGATTTGTGTGTCAAAATAAAAATTTTGCATAGGAATAGATTCATGTATCAAATTGAAAATGCGGTCTGTATGTCAGACCCCGCAAGAGTGAACTTCCTTTTTTTTTATTCAGTACTGAAGGGTTGAGTTAACGAAAATATATAAGATAAAAATGTGATAAAATAATGTATTATCTAATAAATTAATATGGGTTAAATTAAAAAGAGATTAATATTAATTACTTTATCTCTAATTTGTAATAATTTTAAAGAATTCCTCATTTCGGCATATGCCAACGAATACGAAATTTTACACTTGGTTTTTTTAAAAAAAATAATCACGCATTCAAAATAAAACTTATTTTAATTTTAAGGTCATTTACAATAAATTCGAACTTATGAAAGGGTAGAATTAATTATTTCATTGAAGTTGAAACCTTTTTAAAAAATTTTCCTACATTGAAATTGAAAACAGATTATTTTATAAAAATATAAAAGAATAAGGCCGAGTTTTATTAATAATCAGATAAATTTTTCTTAATTAACGTAAAATGTTTTTTTTTCTTTCTGTTATATAAAAATATTTTAAATTATTATTAAATTTATTACAAAATGATTTTTACATATGCGAAATATTTTTTAATTGCACATTCGATTTAGATGGAGAATATATGTTAATTTTTTTTTTTACTTTTTTTGTTTAATTCTAAATTGATATTAGAAAGGAAAATTATGAGAATTCATATCTATCAAAATTTGTTGGTATGGATTTTGATCCTAACAGTAAAATAAAAATATTATATATAATTACACAATTTTTGACAAATAATGGTTATGATTATTTTGATGATTTATGAATTAATAGGGTTATTAATGTTATAAAATATTGATCAGGCTAATATTTAAAAAAAAATATAGCTAAAAGTGAACTATTATATTCAGTGACCTGCAGTCCCGGACTGGAATACGGCTAGACTAGGCTCGGACCGAAAGATGAAATGATTTTAAAAATCCAGGCCGAGAATATATTTATAAAAAAAATAATCCGTGCAGAGCCGATTTAAATAATTATAAATTTAAATTATATTAATCAATCAGTTGGAAAATCATGTTTGATGGAGCATTTTATATTCATTTAATGCTCATATTTTTAATTGACTTTTAAACTTGTAAAATACAGTGTAAATTATTCCAAATAACTAATTTAATTTTAAAAATTCATGGAAAAAAAATAGGATCTAATCAATTTTTTAAAATCCAGGCAGGGAGATTTTGGCATCTGAAGGTCTATGATGAAATTGTAGAGCCAAAAAATAGGTTTAAAAAATCTTTTTGGTGTCTATAATTTCTGTTAGTGATGTTATGATATAACAAATATCACGTGAATAAGTTCGATAGGCGTTTTTCACCATTTTCTTATTTTAAAATATTAAAATTCAATATAATGTGAATATTTGATTAAACTTTTGGAGTGACAAAGATCGCGAGATCGTGTGACTCTTGACCAATTTACAAATCAAAATTTAAAGATGATATTTCTCCTTCTGTTTAAAATTAAAATTTATCATATATTATATAGTATATATATTTTTTTCATAGCTTATCAATTATGCAGGATCGAGAGTATTCAAACAATTAAGAAGTAAAAGAACAGTTTTATCTCCTCGTATAAATGTTAATGAGTCGGAGAAAATCATTAAATTCTCCTATATTCCTCTAGATAACGAAAACCTTAATAATTTAGGTATGAATATATAATTAATTATTTTTTTAAATAATGATTAAAATTGAAAAATTTCAGAAAAAAAAGAATTTTTATTTTAATATAAAGAAAGTGCAAAACCAAAATTATTTATAAGAAAAATATGCCCTGACCAAAGATAAACAATATGGGGCATAAAAAGTGCAATTGAGCTTTGTTTTATTGTACTTTTATAATAAAAAAACGTAACGCATACCTTGAATTGAGATTGCCTCTTTATTAGTATCGTCGAATTCAAAATTTTTACTAAATAAAAATGAATTGGTTTTTGTAAATTTTATTAACGTCTGCCCTTATCTCAATATTCCATTTTAAAAGATAAGTAAGTTATTTTTTTTTAACATTTTATAAAATATTTTAAAATGAAGAATAAATATCGAAAAAACCAAGCCTATTTGCGTTTTTTAAAATGGTTTCTAACGCCAAGTGATAATTTGTCGTTACTATATGGAATACATGATTTGCAACACAGCTTTTGAAAGGCTCAATTTGTGCGCACTATAATACTATTTATTTGGGAAAATTCCATAAAAATTTGTCTACTCCTATGATATTATTTAAAACTAAAAAAACTTAAAACTATAATATATTAATTTTTTTCTATTGTCAATATAATAATTATTTACTATATTATAAATCTATAAATTTCCCATATCAAAAAGGAAATATTAGTGACATTTATGGATCGTTAACATTAATAAAGCCTATAGGCTAACTATTCAGAGTTAAACACCATGTAAAATTGAAGGCCATAAGATTGAGATATAGAAAAATTATTTATTTCCTTAAAATGACTACTTGAATATTTATATGATAAAATATTGAATATTTTTTACGTGATACGTGATAATTAAGCGCCTACCCCTATAATGTTGTTCACACACAAGTATATGTACAACAGAGCAACACTTGGTACTCTCAAATAAAAGGAAAACCCATATAATTGGGTGTCAAGATTTTAAGGGATTAATAATGAGAAGGACCATCCATATTTTTTAGGCAGGCCTCAGTTGCCTGTTCCCGTAACAGAACTTAGATCGTAATTTATGGCAATACAAATATAGTTTATTAATAAATATGTAAATAACCGCAAGGATAAATTTGTTAAATTACAATTTAAATTAATATTAGGTAATATTAAATAAATGATATAGGAAGACCTAGTAAGATTATTGGATAAGTTGGACGTATTAATGAGGTTTGTATAGGGGAGTATATAAATGCACTTGGTAATCCAATTTAGAAAATAAATATATTGCCAGAATTTTGAATTCAGATAACGGGATTAATGATTTATTATATAGTTCATTTTTATTTTAAGTAGTTTTATCGAATTTATTATTATTTAGACAGGTATAAATTGTGCTAGCTTATATTCTAACTTAGAATATCTTTAGTTTTGTTTAGCCAATATATTTAGTAATTACAGATGTTTTTATTTTTGTACATTGGAAGCCAATTTAGGGCTTCAAACGTTAGATTTTCTTCAGAGTTCCTCATAATATGGCCGAAGAGTTGAATTCTTCTTTTCTTAAGAGTATCGACCGGTGTGTTTTGATATTTTCCCCAATCCTATATTTAATATAATTTAGGATACTCGAAGTCATTTATTAATCCCAGGCACATATTTATGAAGACTTGTACTTTTTTTTATCATTAGAGATTCATTCGTATCCCAAGTATCACTCCAAAATAGAAGAATTGGGATATGCATTGAATTAAAAATTTGTAGTAGGATTTTAAGAAAAATTTCTTTCGTGTGCCAAAGTTTAAAATATTTGTAGAAAATAAATTTAACATGTCTCAGTCTCAATTCTATTTTGTTTTTTATTTGTCCTTTATTATTTATAGTAACACCAAGATATTTAAATTCCTCTACTAATTTAATTCCTAACGTGGATAGGGATTGGTTTGAGTCAACAAAAGCTAGGGGATGGCATAATTACTTTTATATACAATATGTCTAGTATGTTAGTTAGAAGTCTTCTTTATTGATTGTATGATCATGACTAAATCATCTGCATAGGAAATAATACAATGTGTTAATTATCATGGGAAGATATGTATAATAGGTTGAAAGCGCCTAAGGTATCGGCTACAATTTTAGGATAGGTAACGCAACCCTGCTCAACCCTTTGCATATGTTAAAAAAGAGAGAATTAGTGGAGCCAACCTGGAATTTAGATTGCTATAATAGTTACTCAACATTTTTACAATGTTTTTTATCAATATCTCTATCCAATAAGATTTTCCATTGGACAAAGTGTTTAATGCTGTCAAATGCCTCACTGAAATCGATGAACGTTAAAAAAATGGGTAATTTGTATCTGAGACATTTTTGTATGGTGTTTGATGACAATATTGGCTCCGCTAGGTCAATATGCTTGATAGTATATACTTAGTTGATTAATCTGAGTATTTATAGTTTTTTATTAATAGAATATGTTTTTAAGATTTTTTTTAAAATTTATTATTTATCGATATTTTGGGTTTTTTTTTATAATATCTTTAATTTTCTAATTAGTCTGATTGAGCTATCATTTTATAAAAAAATTATAATTATAAGCAAATCTTAAACCGAACTTAGTATATAAAAGAAATAATTAAATACATCATAAAATAAATAGCAGACGTACCCATATTTATCAAAGTGTTTTTATTTTATTAAATGTTGATTTTGAGTAATTAACTAATTTTTTTAACTTATTAAAATTTTATAAATACATATACCCCATCTAGTGGAATTAATATTATTAAAATATAGTCTCAAAAAGACCTATAAATAATTTTATTTAAACTTAACACTTTTATAAGATGCTTTTAAAACCATCCTATAACTTATTTTATTCAAATCTTACAGTAATAAAATAAAATAATATTCTATTGTTAAAAATAAAAATTAACTTTTACCTTATTTTATAAAAAATAATCAATTATAAATGGTTAAAATAATTTGAAACATCAAATTTTTTCTATAAATTGCAAAGAGAAAACTAAAGCTAACAGACGAAGAATAGTAAAAAAAAATAATGTCGTTGTTAAAAAAAATTGTTAAAATAAAAATCAACTTAAAAATAAAAAAAAATATATACTAGAAAATACGAGGTTCAAGTTACAGTACCTAGAATTTCTTACAAAAAAATCAAGGGATTGTAAAAAGCATAATATTAATAAATTGACTTATTAATATTTTTTAAACCCGAACGCAACAAATACTATGAATAATTTTAATTTATTTCATATATACTCAGAAATAGGTTATATATCAACGAAAGTTTATTATTATAATAAACAGTATTATTATTAAAATAGCTTAATAGTTTTACCTTGGTTAAATAAATTATCTATAGAATTTATCCTAAATAACTTCAGCTATTAAATGATATATCCAAAGCAGAAAATTGAAAAAAAATAGTTATAATGGTATACCCCTTGCTTGGGATTATACTAGCTTAGATCGTTCAGATCCTTTTCTCAACTTCATCATGAGAGCAGATAGCTTAAAAATCAATAATTATAGTCATCTAAACAATTTATTATTCATATCAGTGGTTTTAGACACCTTTGTTAGATATCCAACTAAATAAATAAAATATATATATGTCGTATTGGGATATGGAATCATGTGGGATTCGGAATCTCCACCACGTTTTATTCGGTTAAAAAATATTCCGAATCCCCATGAAAAAAATATAAAATAATTTAATAGATTTTTCTTCTCTTTTTTGCGGCTGGCACCATATAATTAAAAGGCCAAAATAAGGGATTTAAAAAGAGAATTTAAAAAAAAGTAAATAGTATAAAATTAAGGCATATAATGAATGAAAAGGGATGAGGTGAAGACTTTTTTGTTTTAAAAAATATTAATAAATATATTTATAAAAAATCCGAATTATTGCAACAATTTTCGTTGAGCATTTAAGCAGGGACGGTTACGGTTCAGTATGTAAAAAATTATAATGGTTACGTTTTGGTTACGGTTCTTGAGAAGAAATTTATAAAGGTTCGGTTCAACTAATTATAAAGGTTTAGTTCATTACGGTTAGAAATTTTTTTTTTATTGAAACCATCTTCTAATTTATTTATATTATAAGCATCTATGAATTATATATAAAAAAAATATTTAAGATTCAAAATAACTCATTTTTAATTATATTATTTGAACTTAGCCCTTTCTACAGAAACTTGTGTTGCGGGAACCGCCAGTACTATAAGAGAACGTTTATATAATTCTGTATATTCAAATTATATCTCTAAAATATAAAAACTGAACCGGTTTAACCGTTTTTTCTAAAGGCTCTTTTTACTCCTTCAAAAAATAATTATAGTAACAAAAATAAATTTTTTTAAAAAAAATATGGCGATTCGGAATCTTTTTTTTAAAAAACAATTAAATTATATTTTGTCGCTTGGCTGGCACCATAAAATTTTATTTTTTAGAGATTTAATATGTATTACTTTTATGCTTTAAATCATTAAATACTCATGGATTAGTTTTATAGTAGTTTTAAATTTCAAAAATATATATCTAATACTTTTTTCAAAATGTTATTTTTTCTGGAATTTTTTTTGAGAACGAGTGAACCCTACCCGGGGACCAGTGGCCCCTACAACGGTGAGGGTCCGAAGCAACTGCTTCTAAAATTTTGAATGGGGGTACTTAAAAATTTTTTTAAAAAATTCTTTTATTGTTTTACTTCCATAACCAAGTGATTTCTGGTTTATGATATAGGACTCGACCTCGTGATTCCGTATACATATTAAATTAAATAATAAATGGGAGGTCTTAGTACATTTTAATAAATTTTGGTCGATGTTTAGCAAATTAGGTTGATTTCTTGTCATAAAATTATTTTACCAATTTCAAAATATGCCTAAAAATATTAACCAAGATAGTACAAGCTTATTTAATAATTGCACATGGGCCTTTCCATGTCAAATCGATCAAAAAAGACACATTTTCGGTCGACCCCTTTTAAAAT